AGTAGGTTGATTGGCCACGTGACATCCCCAGAGGCAGTCCTGTGCTGAGTGCACAACTGCCTGTGTAGCTCACCAAAGGGCCAGATGTGGCTACTAGAATGTTCCAAGGCTTGGCATCTGGGTATTGGCAAGAGACCCAGCGGTAGCCTCAGGTCTTGTGCTAAAATAGGAAATAAAAGAAAGTTCCACAGTAGAGAGTCTAAATGACTCTGAAGACATACACAGGAATAAAAAGTAATTCAAAGTAACAGCTCTCAGTAAGTGATTGGTTTGTCTATTACCAATTAAATATACTGAGAGAATGTCAAAATAGTTTCATGGCTTGAGCTAATGATTTTTCATTGGCTTTAAGCATGTTCTAAGGTAATTGTATCAATCAAATGAATTACTTTCCAGTAACTGAGAATATACAGCACATCTTTCAGTGCTAAATACGAAGAGACGGAAGGCACCCATATTCTTACCCTCAGATTTCACGTACTTGTAGAGTGTTTTGAACTATTCTTTGCATTGCCATAAAATTTAATGTTGGAACCCATAATATGGTTGGTGGAATATAAAAATGAACTGTTTTATGGATATGACTTTATAGAGTTATTTTCTTATAGATTTATAGGTAGATTCTGAAAAGTAGCAGGGTAAAAACAAGAACCTTGAAATCCATACTTTGAACTCATTAATTCCACTTCTCAAGAATCTATCCAAAATTAATTAGATATGAACAGAGATTTATTTGTAAGGATGTGCATTGTGAAAGTAAATAGCTAAATACTGATGCAAATATGCATTTGAAGGGAATGTTACACATAATAAAGTATTCTGCAGCACTAAAATAAATTTTAAGACTGTTTAATGGCATAAAAATGCTATTAAAGATGAGACAAAAGAATAGGGCCTGAATTGGAAAAAAAAAAAAAAAAGGTGTATACCGACTCAATACTGGAAAAAATATATAAAAGTATGAGTATCATTATGTCTGAATGGTGGATTATGGGTAATTTTTATTTTCTTCTTCATTAGTTATTGTTCTTAATACATTTTATAAAGATCATACAATAAACATTTAAATTATGCAAATAGGAATGAAAACAATGTGCATATTTATAGTACTAGTGGAACATATACGGTTTGAAAGGGCTGAAAAGCAACCACTTCTTCAAACATAAAACACTGAAAATTCTCCAGCTGCTCTTGGCAATGATATCCAAGTATTGGAATTTCTGCTTTATTGTTACTGAGGATACGGCAACAGATTCAAAGGGAATCCTGATACTATTGCTCTGGTGGAAAGCTATACGTGAAAAGGAAAATCCACTTTTAAACTAAAATAGCTCAGAAGTATTTCTAATAGGACTGCTTTGAGAAACAATTTCAAAATGGGAAACAAGTTTATGATAATAGTGACCTCTTGTTATAAAATTGATTTCTTTCAATTTATTCCAAATGTTGGATCACTTATAGTTTCCTTCCCAAGATGTATCCCTTGTCTCATTTCTCCAATACTTAATACTGAAAGTTAGTCACACCATTCTCATTGGGCTTCTGTTTTCTAGTTAAAGATCATTAGAATTCTTTATTTTGTTTTATTAATCTTTTGTGCCCCTTAAGAATATTTATATCAATATATATATATGTATGTATATATGTATATACACATATATACATTCCTGGAAATTAATACTTTAAGTATTTAATACCAATATATATATATATCTTTATACAAATTTCATGTTTAACCAGAAATAAAAAGTCTCCTACTTATAAGAGCCTCCTAGCAGCTGGCTTAGCATTTCCCTTACTTGGGGTTTAATTTTACTAAACAGCTTTCTTTTAAATTCCAAACAAAATCGTTGTAATCTATGTTAGATGCTCATTTAGCAGTATTATTGAGAGGTGGGAGTTCCAACAGTGGCATCAAGAGAACAATACATTAAATCAGGTTCTCTCTCTTACTGAAGATAGCAGTGCGAGCTCAGCTGGGCCCTCGGTCCTCAGCCCAGTCCTCGGCGGCGGCAGTGAATTCAGCCATAACTATAGCCGAGTCTGATCATTTTCCTGATGAAATTACACTGATCTAATTTGCACGCTGTGAAGACATTTGGCACTGGCTGGATCTGAGCCTTGACATCTTCATTGGAACTAAAAGTACACTAAGAACTGACATTACATTTCACATTCTCTTCTGCCAGGCTGTGGCATTTCGTCCTTTTTAAAGGCATTATTTCAAGAACATTTAATTTGGCTTTGATGTGCCTGCCATTTTGCGGGGTGGAACATACTGTGCCAGAAAAGCTCAGCTGTAATAAAGTTTGGCACCAACAGCCCACCATATACCTGCACCATCCTGTGCGATTTAATTGGCATTCAGCGGGTTGATAAATGGATTGGCTTAATGAGACAATATCCTTGACATATGCAGGGCTCTCCTGAGGAATAGGATTCATTTTTCCACTTCACACATCAACATGTTACAGATACCAACACAGTCATCTCCAGCAGTTGTGCGGTAGCCAGTGAATGCCATCCACTGGGCTGACCAGCGACACTGTTATCTTCCAAACATCTCCCCCCTTGCTCCTCCAACACAAAGCAAAGCATGGATTTTAAATTTCATTGTCTTTTGTATTTTCCCAGACACAAGGAAGAAGATGAACCCCATGATTTATTTACATAAATCTGTATTTCCCTAGGAGATCAAACAGCCTTGTAGTCAAACCAAATTGGTTTTACCTGCTATAAAATCATGACTGTAAAATGAAAGTAATAGTGAAAGCGAGGTATAGCTACGGGCATATGCAATCACGTAAAGGAGCAAATGGGTGGGTGCCATTCTATCTTCAGAAATGCTGGCTGCAAAAATGAATTAATTAAAACAACAAAGAGACACCATTTCTCACTCCTCTGATTACCAAAGATTAGAGAGAACCCTAATGCTGAGTGTTGGCAAGGGAGCAAGGACATAAGTGCCGCATGTGCTGCCGGTGGGATCCTAAATTAATACAACTTTTCTGGAAGGCAATTTTCAGTATGTGTCAAAAGCCTTAAAAATGGGCATAGACTTTCACTAAAGCACTTCCACTTCTGAAAATATGTCCCAAGGGATTAGAGACATGCCAAAGACGGATATTCAATGATGATCAACACATTGATTATAATAGAGAAAAAATGTAAAACAACGCAGATGCCTAAAAAAATAGATTTCCTAAAGAGAATATAGAATAATCATATGCTAGAACACTAAGCAGTTGTTAAAGTGCTGTCGTAGCCAGGCTGGTGCGGCTCAGTGATTGAGCATCGACCTATGAACCAGGCGGTCACGGCTCAGATCAGGTTGTGGCTTGATCCCCGGTAGGTCAATCAATAATTCTCTCTCATCATTGATGTTCTTCTCTCTTTCTCTCTCTCTCTCTCTCTCTCTCTCTCTCTCTCTCTCTCTATCCCTTCCTCTCTGAAAGAAATAAAAATGATTAAGAAAATAAAATGCTGTAGTAGAAATATGTCATGAAAAATGGTTCTAAGTATTATAAAATACTACTTCATTATTAGCCATTTCTTGTGAAAAATTCATATATCTATACAACTATACTCATACTAAAAAAATCAAAAAACAAATATCAAAATAATAATGCTTGCCTTTGGAAGTGGGATTAATTAGACTTTCTTTTTTCTTTATCTTGATGCTTAAACAAAATTTATTTAAAGGATTTAATTAAGATGGCATTTTAAACTTCTCAAGTAATTTCTATCTGACGACAATGCGATTTTTGGAAAGTCTTTTACTGTGTGATAAGTCAAATCATGCCCATGTAATTCAATTCTTATGGTTCCAGGTTACTTAAGTATTCAATTGAATAGCTGTCCAGGTATATAACCCATCTTAGACAAATGACCTTTCTTTCTACTTCCAGCTTCCTGGGATTCTCACGTCACTAGTAACAGCTGAGTAGTAGAAAGCAGCAGATTTTAAGAACACAGTTGACATTCAAAAGACTTCTGGAGTATATATCTTCTAGCCATGGTCCTTATTAAATAAATACTATTTGGTCCACTCTGTTTTGTTTGTTTGTTTTACAATGCCAAAGATGCCTAAAAAAAGGTAGAAAATATGAAGATCCAGATATGAAAAGGTTATTTATTTAGATTTGTTATGGCCCCCTGGGAACCACATTGAGCCTGGCAATAGGAAAATTAGGGTCCCTGCCTTCAAGTCTGCCCAGGCAAATAGAAAAGGAAAGATAAAGGGGATGGGATGAAAGTGCTTTAAAAAGGGAGATCAGCTTAGGGAAGCCGGCGTGCTCCATAATGACCACTGCAGGGCTTGGTCAGCTTTTCAGGCCAGGAGGGAGGAGGGGCCCTGTGAAGAGCATCCAGGGCAGCTGCATCGCTCGCAGCTCAGCGGTCCTCCCTGGTCCTCCCGGGGTGGCGCCAAGCTGCCCACCCCTGGCTTCCTTCCTGCCTCTGAGGTGGGAGGGCACCCAAAGCCACTGCCCCGCATTCCAACTGGGGACCAGTTTGATGCTCTCCATTCTGCTCCACAGGAAGTTCCAACATGCAAATAAGCCCAAGGAAATGGAAAAAGGAAACGGTGTGTGACAGTTTCTAATTACTGCATAAAAACAACATATGGAAACTTCATTGTCCATTTCATCTCTCAACATGTACCATCAAGTCAGACTTCTTTTACTCAAATCCCTCTCTAGGGCATTTGGATCTGATTTACTTCAAAAAGAAGTTTTTGGGTGTTTTTTTTTTTTTTAATTTCTGATGGAATAATAGTATTTTTTATTTTAAACATCTTGCTCATTGGGAGAACCTTGTTCTATTTTCCATTTGAGTTTTCTCATTGTGCGTTAGTTAATTCTATTCCCTCGGGTTGTTCACAACCTGGATTGAAGTTGTTCATTCTTCAAAAGTTTAAATTAACTGTCCCTAAGTACCTGTTATAAATGCTTGAATGAGTCCCTAATCACTGATTAGAGGCGGCAGGAGGATTGATTCGGCTCTTGTGTCTGCTTCAATGTTCTAAAGGCGATGAACAGGAGGTCAAAAGAGGAAAACAAAGCAGGCAACGTTTGGTGAACTAAAAAAATAACAGTGCGGCACATAAAAAAACAAAAGTTAGGTAGAAGGTCTGGATTGAGGCTCAAAAGACCTGGAGACTGGCCCCTGCTTAGGTACACGAATGTGATCCCAGGCAGGTTCACTTCCCTCATCTGCTTTCAAATAAGGTTTAGACTACAAGATTTCCAAGATTTCTTTCCTGTTTCCTGAATTCTCAGACTGTACCGAATGATTTCAGTACTACTTGCTGTCTATATGGGACCAGGCGTACCAAAGGTGGCTTGCATTTAAATGCTAACCTTGGGGGAATGTTTAAACGTTGAGGCAAAACCAGAGAAGCAAAGCATATATCAAGTTCCCATTTGCTGAAGGCAAAGCCTTCCAGATTCTCCTCTCATCCCCCCCTGGCCACAGAAGCAGAGTCAGTTAATGAATCAGAAAAAAGCTGGTTACCAGATGTCCTGGCTTATTAACACGCACATCGCATTCTGTAACGGCATTCACAGAGCAAGCTGTGTGGAACCGAAGGATGGCAAAGGGAAACTTCTCCTCTCACATAAGCTTCAAAATGTGGTGTGCTTTGCTAAATTTCAGGAATGGTTGCTGCCTAAGTTCGTGCAAGCCGTTGGCAGGCATGCTCTCTGGCAGGAGCTTGCCTGGGTTACAAAGAACCCCTTCTCCAAGGTCATAGGATATCTCGCCTCTCTCAGCCCTGCCTCCTTCCTCTAATCTGTGCAGACTTGCTGACGTGATTTCTTATACGTGGAAAGAAAGACAACGGTAATAAAGTCAGGAGTGATGCAAGGGAAAAGCCAGCTCTGTGTGACTGGTTTTCACCACAGCTAATTTTAAAGCCACCCATTGTTCAGCTCTGCGGTGTAATTTTATGTTAATATCCTGAAAGTTGTCAAATCTTGGCAAAACCTATGCATAAATTACACAGAAAGTAGCTCGCAGGAGGGGGAAAAGTAATGACTGTCATGGATAGCCAAACCCATTAATAGTCTGACAAGCAATAACCCAGGAGCTCTGGTCAACTGCTGCAGACATCTGTGAAACTTTTGCAATTAGTACCATTTCCCCCCCCCCCCTTTTTTCTGTTTTGCTGTTGGAAGAGATATCAGCTGTGAAATAGCATGTAACGGACTGATCATTATCAGCTCTGTGAGCAAGGGTTGGGCTTTATCATCTCTCTTGGTTGACCATGCCCTACATTTCACAAAAAACAACTTAAATTTTTTTAAAAAAATAATGTCATAATTATATAGTCTCTAGGAAACAGGTACCAACGGTGTGGCTACTCAAATAATAAAAAATAAGATGCTTCAATCTCTTACTCATCACTGGTTTTCCTCCCTGTGAGGTTGAGAAGAAATAAAGATGGAGAGACACAATCTCTCTTAAAAGCTGCACCCTAGGTTCTAGGCTTGTGGGTAGATCATCTTATTGTGCCTTCTCCTACCACTTTCCACATCACTTTTCTGTGGGTAAGGGTTTCAGGGCAAAATAAATGGTCATTGTTTGTGCCATGCTGGTGGTTAAACCATTTTGAATATCACTCCGTATACGTGTGTGTGTGTGTGTATGTATGTATATATGTATATATGTATATGTATATGTATATGTGTATATACATGATGTACACACACACACATACACATAATCTATTGCTCATTTTCCCTAAGAATATTGCAGGTAAATTAGCTGAATTTCCTACAATGAATAGCTCTAAAGCAAGCATGTTAAACTCACGGTCAGCGGGCCACATGCCTTGTTTATTTGGCCTGTGTTAGCCTTTGAGTTTGACATGCTTGCTCTAAAGCAGTGGTTCTCAACATGTGGGTTGCCTAAGACCATCGGAAAACACATATATAATTACATATTGTTTTGTGATTAATCACTATGCTTTGATTATGTTAAATTTGTAACAATGAAAATACATCCCGCATATCAGATATTTACATTACGATTCATAACAGTAGCAAAATTACAGTTATGAAGTAACAACGAAAATAATTTTATGGTTGGGGGTCACCACAACATGAGGAATTGTATTAAAGGGTCACGGCATTAGGAAGGTTGAGAACCACTGCTCTAAAGGCTTTTCAATATTTCCCCAGAGCTGTTACAGCTGCTGCGTCTTACATAGTGCCTGGCACTGAGTAGATACTCAAAAATCTCTGTTGAATGTATGTGTGTATGTTAGCAGGGAATATTTCCCATTGATGATCTTGCTATTGTAGCTCCATTTATTGATTTTATGCAGAACTTCCTTGCTGCTTAAAAAAAATCATTGCCTGTGTGTAGGGTTTCCTCGGAGAATGCTAACAAAAGACTTGCTTTTCTCAAAACGTATAGCCTGAAATGCCTGCATTACAGAATCATTTGGTTAACAAACTCTTTCCTAGCTCTGGCTTTATTCCAGGGCCTATGCTTAGAGATGGAGATAAGAAGATGAATAAAACACAGTTTTTGCTATCACAGAGCTCACAGAATGTTCAGAACAGCCACGTGGAAAGGTGATTCCAAAAATACATGCACATGTTATAAGACTACAGGTTTCAACTGCCTTTAAGGACCAGCACACTTTAGCTGGCATTACAGGGAAAGGTGTCATAGTAAAAATGCATGTGGGATGGGTTTTGTAAAACATGGCCTAGCAGAAAAAGCGAGGAAAGGCTTTCAAGACTCAAGGTCTGCATGTGTAGAGTTACAGTGTAATAAAAGGACATAGAATTTTAGGGAAGAGTGAGATAGCTAGTGGTAGAAGCAGAGGGCATGGGATTATGTGGCAGGAGTTGAGGCTGGAAAGGTGAACTGAGGTAGGATAAGAAGTGGCCTTGGTGCCATACTAGTGCCTGCAGGCAGTTAGGGGTGAATGGAAGCCTTTAGGCACAGAAACAGGTATTGCCTATAATGACCAGTAATATGGGGGGGGGGGGCAGAGTGGGGCGGGAGCTGTCAAGAGGGGAGGGGAGAGGGAGTGCAGAATCAGGATTGGAAGGCCAGTGAGAAAGTTATTTTAATAGCCGTGTAGATAGACCACGAGTAAAGAGAAGAAGCAACAGATTTTGAAGATATCTCTGTAGCAGAACTGTCAAGATTGGATGATTGATTGCATGTGGGGGGTAAACGAAATGTGATAGAGGATGACTCCTAGCTTGGTGTAAATGGCCAGGCCTTTAATTAAGACAGGGCCACACAAAAAAACAGCTGGCTGGCGTCAGTGTAGGAGTGAGGGAACTGCAAGGGCAACATATAAATTTCCCAGAAATTGGTTTTTAAAAAATAATACTATTTCCAACTGTCACTGTGAAGCCAACAAATCTAAAAAAAGAACAAGACAAAATCTAACTGATGCTTATCAAAGGCAAATGCAATTGGAAAGACTTCCTTTTAATAAAAGTATCAGGGGGAACAATAATAAAATATTAAGTTCTCTGAACTTAAATAAAAAGAGTTTATTCACAGACAGCTATTTATAGTTTCTGAGTTCAGAGGTTGCTGACCTGGCTACTGAACGAAATGCTCAACCTGACCTATTTCTTCTTCCTTCCCTAAATATCATAGTTCACATTTACCCCATGAAAATGGTATTTATAAAACACAAAACACCCCAAACCGTCATAGTCTTCAATTTGGCAAGACACGTGGATTCCTCTCCAGCCTTGTCTGGACAAATCAAGAAAGAAGGAAGTAGCAGAGGAATCGCATAAACCAACCCCAGTTGTCTGAAAAACAAGTTTGCTGTCATCTTGGGACACATCATTTTTAGAAACAATGACCCATTTGGCAGCCTCACACATGTTCCCATCTCTGAAAGCTTTCTAGCATTCCAGGCCTTGCTTTATTTAGGTTGGGATTTTCTTCAGTGAAGCAAGTGCAGAATCTTAATTCCATTCAGTATTACTCATTCCATTCACACAATTTTCCCCCCTCATTGTGTTAGCAACCCTGCTTCACTGTCTCAGCGACCATGTCTGGGCACTCATATCAAATGGCGGCAGTGTGGAATGTCTAGTTATTGCACTGTTGAACTTGTACAGCTGTCCTAGATGGTCTGTTTAATAACGTGAGTCCTCTGGCTTTTGAAAACAGCCTTTGTTACATGAAGAATGTGGCTTTCTTCATCAGAAACAAGTTTCTTTTGAGTTCAGTCAACTTCTAACCTGAGTTAGTTTATCCAAAATATCACACTCTATTTTTTTTTCAGTTTTCAATGAGTTTTTATTGATTACCTGGAATTTATAAAGGATATATTCCACCTGTCTCCAATATCTGACAACATCACTCTTCACTGAATTTTTAGACTTTAAAATTTCTGTTGACATACTGTGCAATTCGCCAGCATATGTGAACTCGAAGTCAAAAGAAATTTCCTGGAGAAATTCTAGCCAATTGACCTAAGTTGGGAGAGATTCTGGGGAGCTACATGTTTTCCCTGTCGAAAGGGAGGTCAGACTAAGTAAGTTTCAGGGGAAGAAAATGGGGTCATGGAGGTAAGAGTGGGGATCCAATCAAAGAAGAGTCTTTTGTTGGGAAGTGCAGGGTGGTGGGGTCTCAGAAAGCAAAGAGACCCAGTTCAGTGGAGGCCTTTGACTTCTGAACCCATAATCACTTCATCCCTTTTGGGATTTTTTTCCATGTTTTCCATGTTATGGCTCTTTTGTTCATTTTTGTCACTTAACTTGATTTCCATTGTAGGGTGATGATTTTTCTCCTCCCTATCTTTTCGATCTTCAGATACAAATAGTCAACATGACTCCAAGTTCTTTGTAGAAATAGCCTAATTGGCTGTTTTATTTTTTTCATTTCACTCAGATGCATAGTTTCAGTTTTAATTGTGTTGCTATGAAATGAACATAATGTTTTCCAACATTATTATAACCAGAAGTAGCTAAAAATATGTATATTGTTCTTCATCTTATAAAACACTTTTATAATATATCCCATGTACTAAT